TACCGGTCTTTGAAGGCCTAGCGGCAGCATTCATGGTGGTATTCGGAATCAGCATCGTCGACTACCTATAGTCCAGTCGGTTTCGTTGAAAAAGCGATTTATCAGTTGGGGATCATTCCTCGTTAGTTTTGACATTTTCTTTCTTTTTTTATTCGATCATTTTTAGATTTGGACATGAGTTAAGTGAAAAACTTAAGTTTACTGAATGAAATCTAATTGGACATTTTATACAATATCTTCTATGTTTCTTCTGCATAAACAGGAATTGCTGTTTCATATTTTAAGAATTTATTCTATGCCATGCTATCTACGCTTGGTAAAAATTTAGTTGCTTGAGCTCAAGTTAATCAAGAGTTATAAATCGAACAAAGAAAAATTGACGAGAAACATTTAGTATGAAATATCCTCAAACGAGAAAAATTGTATTTATTTTTTATCTTCATTTTGTTTTCTAACTTTTGCTTTTATCGGTTTATTACTCAGCCGACTAGACTCCTGCGGGGCAGCTCCGAGCCCCGGACTCTACAACCCATGCACAGTGTGCATCCAGGCGAAATCTTGGTGAAAAAATGAAAGTTGACCGAAAAGTCAACTTTCCAGTAATTCAAATAGTGATTAATATACTCTGAACTATGCTTATGCTCTATTCGATGGTAAAAAAGTTTCTTCCTACGACTAATTTAAGCTGGGAAAAACATATGAACAAAAATTGCACTAAAAACGATGGTGCCGCCGGAAAATCGTATTACACGCAAAATCAAGATAAGCCGTAAGACAAACAAACGCATATTCAGAATCTGCATCCAGTCCGCTACCGATTGGTAAAATAATTTTCAAATTTTGGGCCTTCCGAGCCGGACAAACCAAATAAAACATTTTTCTAGAGAGTTCTCCAAAACGTTTGTGTTTGACAAAATGCGTGCGCCAACTTTAGCCTAACTCCAATTTTGATGAAACTTCTGAGAATGTAGTCCTATATATGACACGTCTACACAGGTAGCGAAAAGTTTCCTGTCCCGAGTTATTGATTTTTCAGATATTTTCTATTTTTCTCGGGCTAAAATGTTTCGAAATTTGAAAAAAATAGCATATTTGGGATCAGCACAAAAAGCTACAACGACTGATATTCAATAAGAGAGGTTTTTGACCCAAAAATGACAGATTTTACAAAATCCTGCGGTTGAAGATATCGTTTACGAAGTTTTCTACTACATATTCGGACATCAGTTGTAACATCAAGCCTATAAAAAAATTCCATATAGGCTTTCGAGTGCGCTCATGCCAATAGCACTGCTTTTAAAGTTCAAAAACGGTTTTAAGAGGTTTTCCAAAGATCTGGTCTCTGGAAAACCTATTAAAAACCGTTTTGGACTTTGAAAGCAGTGCCTCTGGAATGAGTACACTCGAAAACCTATTTGAAAAATTTTTGTAGACCTGTACTCTGCTTTAAAGAGATATGCTCGCCTGCCTAGCCAAAGATGCACACTGTGCCATGTACCGCTATTTTCTTTGGCGCAAACGGTACAATCGACTTGCAATGTTGTAAAACAGAACAATGAATTAATTATATTCTCCTCTAACATTGATTAGCCTGTAGACTAGTGAAAAAAAATCTCTTTTGAAGAAATATAGTTGATGGGTTGAAGGTGTCAGGCAAAGTTCGGTAAAAATTCAGATTTCCGAATTTCTTTTCATTTTCAATACAATAAACAACAGTTCAGATACTTTATAACAAGCAATTTTTGATCCTGATTACGAATCTAATATTCGTTTGTCTTCGTTTTGGATGAGCCTACAGAAACCTTCTGTACGGTTTTCTAGTCGTAGCTTAACGGAAGACTTGAATTTTTCAGCTTTTATTCCAGTAACAGTTTAATAACTCCACGGAAGTTGATGCATTAGCCTCAAAAACTTATCTACATGAGTAACTCAATGTGCCTTCCAATCTGATACATAAAAATGTGCCCTATTAGAATCTCATAGTGGTGCATTAGAAATCCGGTTTCTGTAGGCTCATCGAAAAAGGAGACAAACCAATATTAGATTCGTAATCAGGATCAAAAATTGCTTATTATAAATCATATTCTGAGAAAAAATGTAGGAATCGCTTGGAAAGGTTTCCTCATAAGAGAAAAACTCAAAATAACCATAAACATAAAAGACTGAATTTCAAAAATCTATTTTATTAAGCACGCTAATGTTAAGTACTTTAAATTATAAACGATGCATATTAACCGCGTTATGGGAGACGTATGAAAAATAAAATTATTCATATCACACTGGAAAATAGTTCGAGCATCATATGATGCTTGAAGTTCATGTAGAACATGTGATATCTTATCAAACTCAAATGTTTGAATTTCTCATGAGAAGGTCTGACGGTTCGACGAATGAATATGATAGCACAGAGCCGACAGAAGAAGAATGCATTTGAGCATTCCTGAAGGGAATGACCGTGATAATAAGGCATGTCTGACCACATCTTTTATCCTTCACAACGTGCGAACACGTGTGTTATATGCGTGAAAATAAAAGATTGAAAACTTACTTCACTACCTATGTTAACGAAAAATTCGATATCTCAAGATGTTTAGAGTCGATCGGGCTGAAACATTCGATACAGCTACTCAATAGTCAGGTCTATTTGTGAAAAAATGTTCATTGCTTAACGCATTTCAGAGGATGAATAAGAAAAAAATTCGGTAAAATATTAGTTTTTGTTATGCAGAGAGTAAAAATTCGATATCCCGACAAGAAAGGACTGTGGACATTTTTAGTTTTTTCTACTCCATCGAGGTCTTCATGTGGCTAAATTATGAGCTCAAAATCGATCGGACAGTTGAGGACCTTCCGTCGTAAATCTCAAATCTTTACAAAACATCTTCACTGTTCGATGCTGATAAAAACGAAAACAGCCACTACTGAGCAACATAACACCATAAAAGGACTGAGTTCTCTGCTTGTTTCAAATACAGAACTCCTTTACACATTCTAGAAGAGTTTAAAAAGTGATATTGAGCTTTTAAAACACTCATACAGAATCATTCGAGCTTTTAGAAAATTTGTAGATTTTCAATATCATTGAGTTCGTCAAGGTCTCCATTGAAATACATTAGACTATCACTATCATTGTAACCTTCAATAGGATTTGGTTAAGACCAATATTTTATGCATTTATAGAAAGAGAGATATCAAACTGATAAATTATCCGTCCATGTCGTTGATGAAAAAAGATATAACCATTTGTGAAATATCAGAATCAATATTTCGTACTTGATTTCTGCAACAAAAAACAAACATTTTGATTCTCTTGGAAAAAAGTACTCTTCAACCATTTGTAAGTCTCATTGTTCATACAATTGTATGTTTACATCTGAACATATCAGCCCACAAGTGATGCATGTTGAAATATTTAGCTGATAAACAAAGCAAAACACAAGGAATTACTAGTGTATGTCTGTCAAATTTCAAATTTTTTAAGATGAAAGAAGTATGATACTTTATCTTCTGTGCATAAATTGAACAATAATTTTTATGTATTGAGTAAATTGTATTTGTTCTGGTAGAAAAAAGAACTGCTCAGTTCATAAATTTGATTTTACTCGAGATACACTGTGTTGTTGCTTTTACATTAATTAAATACATACGAAAAAGTACTGATGTAATGATATGAGAATTATTCTATAGGATTTACCAAAAATGATCGTTTCCTGCAATTTTTCAGCAAAATTGAATAGAATTCTACCAATGTCTTTGTTCACATAGATTGTGATTTATATTGAAATACAAAAGTGTTTCATATTCAATTGATCATCGAGTTGTTAAATTTGATAAATTAGTTATGGCGAATATGAAAAATGTGAAATAAAAATACTACACAAATTTAAGAATGGTAACAATACTGAATTGACAACAATATAAGCACTATTTTAGTGGTATTCATATTAAAGCAAAACAATATCGACTATTAAAAACACTGACTTTTATTGCTGCTTGAATCTATAAATTCAACTATAGGTAAAGAGAAACATATCTATTGCATAGAATTATTCTCTATCCAATCTCTCATTTTTCTGATTTTATAATCAAATTTTATTTTTCGTATAAAAAGGGATGTATGACTGAATTATTATATAGATAATAGTTTTTAATGTTTCATCTATGCAATCGCATACACATACATACACACGCACACACAAAATTAAAAACAAAAAACAATAAGATCAAGAATAGAGAAAATTTTGGACTGTGAATATCACTGAGATGAAGAACAAGAAAAAATGTCAATAAACATGTTCAATAAAAAAACCATAAATCAAAATTTCGTTGTAAATACTCGAGCAGAAGAAAGAACAGAGATATGTTCTTTTTGCAACTTTTACTTGAGAAGTATCCGTTACATGTCTTCTCGATATGCACAACAAATAATATAATAATACGCATATCCATCTGCTCAGAAAAGGAGTATGTACAACTTTCGAGTGAAAATACAAATACATAAGAACAATGGTGAATTAGACAGATATTTCTCTTTGAAAATAGTGACATTGGATTCAATAAAACAGAAATTGGAAGAAGCTGAATCACCATTTTTTAGTTAGATAATTTATTGTCCTTCATGTATTTAATGCATTTTTTTAAATGAAAGCAACATACAGACACTGTACGTGGAGAGAATAAAGCAATAAAAATCACACGGAAAATGGATTAAAAGTTGTGAGAGAAGAAAAAATGTAGTAAAAATTGTTATGGTTTTCAACTATCACCACCACTATCACCGTGATGATTATAACGTTTAATCATTATTTGTTGCGGTTGTGTAGTACGACGTTTTAAACCTTCTAATAATTGATTAGCAGCATGACTAAAACGTTGCTGATGAACTGGTGAATTCGATAGTGAAGATGATTGTGATGGAGAAGGCGGCATCGACGGAGAAGATATTACGGTTGATGAGAATGAAGTAATATGAGAACGGGATGATTCACCATTAAAATAATTATTCACATTGGCTAAAATGAAATAAAGAAATACAGTTAGCCGAAAAAACGTATGTAAACCTTTGAGTATCACGGAGTGATTACAGGTTAATGAATCTAATCAATGTTTTTTTCTAATCTCATACGAACTCTACTTCATTTTCAAACTGATTATATGAAATATTTCTTACACTGACGATAATCTAACACTGACTCATTATCAAGATACAGACGGCTGATGCATTATGATTATATTAACCTGATGATATTCATAAATTAAAATTAAAATGTGTTAAATTCAGAAATTAAATAAGCATACGTTATCATAAAGAGTAAACAATTGGATTAGATTAACATGGAGATAATATTTGTAGTCAGTTGTGAAAAGAGATATAAAGTGTAATCAAGCAGGTGCTCAAGATCAAGATGTATACAAGAAAATATTTGCAGTTGAGTATGGTACAATGGAACAAAGGTGTTTTGACACACCCTTAGCATTCATTGTATGCTTTTTAATGAATGTTAAATCTCAGGATTATTCTATGCCCCTCCAGAAAGATACGTACACCAACTATATAGTGAACAACATAAAACATTTTGCATACTACTACAAAGATGTAAATGACGAATCTAATATTATAAGCTATATAAATGTCGTATGAAACAAAAAAGATGAGAAAAATGTGTGTTCAGAAGGTTTCAGTCGATAAAAGAAATCCTTTAGATGGCATGCTTCTAGCTCACAACTTATCATACTTAAAATCCTACATCTATAATCAAACTAACAATATCAATACATGCATGTTCATCATATCAATGCGCATAATCATGCAAATTTAGTTGAAGGCACAGAAAAGCACACTTTTCAAATAGTCGTATACATGAGCGGGTAGTATGAAGCATTAGAAAGAAGTATTGCTGTTATGGTTAACAACACAACAAACGTATTTTTTAAAATATAACCTAATACTGTGTGTGCTTATGTGTGCAATAACTGCATAAAACACCCATGGAAAATGAGGTTTTTTTACTATCATATGATATACATAGATGAAACAAGAAGAGAAAAGGAACTTACAATCACATTTCGTAACGTTGCACTGAAAATACAAAATATGGTAATTTGTAGCGCTGTATAAGAACTATGTACGGCAATTTGAGCATTTTGCTAATTATTTTTATCATCAGACATCTCTTATTGAAACAATAAGAACTCAAGAGTGGCAAATTTGGAAATATGTTTAAATATTTCTACACATAATAGTAAAGTGTACAAGATTTAAAAGTACGGTGTTTTCTAGTATCACTAAAAACTTTTGTTTGTGCAGCTTTTTAAAAATATATTTTATCGTGATAAATGTTAGACAAGTTACCAAATTATTCATACCACGAGATATTCATCAAACCAACAAGGTGCAATTCAAAAAAATCTTTACCTGTCTGTTTGACATTTCCTGGTGTTATAGTTCCATTTGCAGTTGCTATGGTCACTCGATTGAACGGTTGTTGTTGAATATTTGCTTGGTTTATACCAGAAAAGAATGTTACGGGAATTTGTTTCACTGGTTTTGTTTCGCTAAATCTCGCCTGTTTTTCTGCAGCTTTTTGCGCAATAACAGATGAAAAATTCGCATCATGCCTTACGTCTGCTATAACTGGAGAAGATGTAGCTAATGAAGAAATTGATTTAGTTGTTGTAGTGGGTGATGATGTTGATAATGATTGTTCATTTGGCGATCTTCTTGGAGTTATATTTTGTTCTATCGTTATGTTTTTTCTCAATGTTGTAGGAGATGGTGGAGGTGGAAATGATGTGATTGTTGTAGACGGTGTTAAATCTTCAATAACGATACTTTTTAGTTCTGTATACGTTGATGATGAATGAAGATTAGTAGAACGTGGAGTATTTAATGATGGACGTGGAGTATTTGATGATGAACGTGGAGTATTTAATGATGAACGTGAAGCTAAAAGATGAAAAAAGAAATGTTTCAAATAATTAACCCTGACATCTGTGATCAGTTATTTTCCAATTTTCAGCATGCAATTTTTTCCAGAGCATATTACATAAAGTCGTAGTCGATGGTAAACATGAACTTACATTGATTCGTTCTTCCGTTTGGTAAAGCGGATAGGGGTCGCTGTTGTTCTGGTTTTGATTGTACTATCTCTTTCTTTGGAGTTTGCCCTATTTGTATAGATTGTGGTTTTTTTAAACGATTTCTCGCTTGCTCGATTTCTGTTTGTAAATTTCCATTGCCAACAATCATCGGGGTAGACTTTACAGGCTTTTCGTTTACATGTTTAAGTTGTGGCGGCGACTCTTGTAAGGGTTGCTGTTGCACAGACAACTTATTTAACTGAGAAGGAAATGGTGGTGGGGGCGGAGGAACCGATTGTTGTTTTTCATTGTCACTGTTCATTGTTTCGCTATCACGATTATTATTATTATTATTCGAGTTTAATGGCGCGTGTAATGATTGTTTTTTAACCATTGAACGTTTTTTAACATCGCTCGGTTTAACTTTATCGATCGATGAAGGAAAAGAAGATGGAAATGAAGGAGCAACTGACGGTGGTGCAAGAGGCGCTATGCCTTTGAATGTTGTTAGTGGTGTAGATGTATTCATCATTAGCGATGGTGTCATATAGATTCCATCGGACGCTGTCGATGTATTTGTAGTTAATGTTGATGAACTTGTTACTTCGACGAAGGAATTTTTTGGATGTTGATTACTGTTTAAAGAAGATAGTGATGATTCTTCGTCGGCCTCGTTTGATGATGAATTCGAATTACGTCTTATATTAGACACATTTGTAGCAAGATTACGTTCAGTCTGTAATGATGACGGTAATGGTCGAAATGTGCCATAAATTTGTTGTTGTTGCTGTGGTTGACCAGAAATTGTAGTCGACGAACAATCGTATAGACTGGAATCACGTTCTGGTACAACTGGTTTTGGTCTGAAAAACAGCAAAACACATTAAGTATGAAAACTGATAGTTTAGATGAAATTTTTTTGCTGCGACGAAACATAAGCCGAGATCACTAAGTAATTTCATGCACACTTTAAATTATAGGAATAGTACTTTAACGGACTGGACAGATATTTTATTTTGCGTCAGTATATCTTTAACTTAGAGTTCTCTGTTCTATCTGTTGTTACTGTTGAACGTGCTAAACTAAACATTTTTCTTTTCTGTAGATGAAAAACTTTGAATATGCATAAAGAGAGAAAAAGACGTTTTCTGTAGGATTGTTAAACTAATAGCTGTTCATGCCATTTTAACACGTTTTTCTTCTCAACTTACTTTCCTCTTTTAATTGATAACGATGGTGTTGTTGTGACGATATTATTCATATTCGGTAGTGCTCCTTCTTCTATGAACGTCTGACATTTTAATGGTAAATAATTAATGTCTGAAGTCGATTGGGAATTTAACGTACTTCCGTATTCATATTCAGCTAATGTACGATCAAGTTCTTCTAGAAAAGTAATTAAACAATTCTTACGTTTCTTCATACGAATTATCTAAATTGCCTACAAAAACCACTTGCACAAAATTTTTTTACTGATTTATTTTTCTTAGATTCTTGAATTTATTTTACAGAACTCTCTGCTCCAGATGATACGCGTTGGATACATTGTGAAACCTATAGAAGGTTGAGTATCTTAAAACTAGACTTAGGTACAATATGGCGTACACATAGATATGGTATTCCGTCAAAAATCGGTTACAATATCCTAGAAAAACCAGTGATCTAGCTAAACATTTCAGTATAACAGGACCGCAACATGAAATGGCTCTAATATGAAGAAATCGTTTTTTCTAATTAGAATATCCACAAGTAGGTAAACACATCTTTTTGATAGCATATCCCAGACTCAAATTATGCATTAGTTGTTTTAAACATACTTTCAGAACATAATGAGAATAATAAGAATCCGAACATAATCCAAAATCTTTTCGCACTGGTTGGTTACATTGAAAATGCTACTTTGGGTCCAGTGGATCCACTTTTTTACGTAGAAAACAATCATGATGTCGGCAAAAAGATGCCAAAATTTTTTTTTATTAAAATACTTGATGGAATCTTGTTTTACTGAGATGTTCAGCTTGATCCAACACATTAAATGAAAATGTGTTTAACTTTGCATGGAATTATTCCGATCAATATGATGTTTGGTCGTCAGTTTCATGCAGAGTGTCAGTGCAATGTGTCCGTGTGCAATGTGGTGCAGTTAATTCATGCATAGAAGAAAATCTAACTAGAATTAATATGATCCTAAATTATTATTTTTTTTTGTTCTGATCAATACCTATAACCATATTTATATAACCGTCATTTTTTGATCGATACAAATAATTAAATGGTGGATGATTTGATATACGCAAGAGTTTTGATGAAGATGATATTTTACTTGAATCAGCTATAAGAAAATTCAAGAACTAACTAAGCTTATTTAAAATCATTTTCGATAAGATTGGGTACATGCACATTTATAGTAATTTGATTTTTATCCCGAAGTATAAAGAAAAAAGAATTAAGATTTTTTCGCGAGAGAATCAAATAAAATTGATCATTTAATTAAGAAATGTTTTTTTCATTCTTTTTTCTCTCTTTTCTGCGTCTATATATGCGTGATCGTGCAAATCATGTTTTGTTTATGAATCAACACATACCAAGTGTTTCACATATACCTGATGGATCAGGTAATCGAATCAAAATAGGTGCTGAAAATGAGAATAACAGCATCAACAAAAAAAGAAAAGGTGTTCAATTTTAACTGTAATATTCCTATCATCGCGATATTTCTTCTATTCCATTACATACAGTGTGTGTAAGCTATAATCTTACCTTTTCTTCTGCATGCTAATGATTGTGGAGGGTTATTATTATTTCTAACTGGAGTTACTGGTGATACACAATCATTTGTTATTGGTACTGCAGTAACAACCTTGAGTGCTAAAGTATCACCGGCTTTCTTTATAAAATTTACACATTCTTCATGAGACATTGACACTACATTCATATTATTGATCTATAAACAATGCATGTACATTCAGTATTTCATATTGTTATCAGATAGATGATAAAAATTGCGTACTTCTAACACGTAATCATTTTGCTTTAGTCCAGCTTTGTCTGCGTTGCTTCCTTCTTCAATAATATCGAGAAATTGCAAAGCAGGATGTGATGGTGTAGGATTAAATACTTGACCAACAACTAAGTGAAAATTAGTAATTTGTTATATCCAACGTAATTATTGAATTTCTCTATTACCTTTTGAGCCTCTTAAAACGAATCCAAAACCTTTTTTTCCTCGTTGTAATACAACTGTTCTAGGGATAAATGAATCATTATTAATCATTAAAGCAGACAATGTATCGCGACTAATCACAATTGTGTCATCATTTGTTGTTTCACCATTTTCTATAAATTAAAAAAATATGCGCAAATTTATACAAGAGATGTGTCAAAAATACTCACTAAATACACATATATCTTGAACATGATAACTTGGAAACCAACCTTCACTATCTTTTGAACGTCCTTCAAGATATCCATGCTCGCCAACACTCAAAACTAGAAATACACGTACATAATACTAAATTTCTTTAATAAATAAAGTATGCATCACCAGAGTTTGATATGGAGAAAGTTCTATGCATTATTTCTATTCTATAGGCGAAAGTAACGCCTAGCACTTTTTGTTCACAAATCAGGATATTCTAACATATCATTTTCAAGTATCAAATAATCTCATCTTACTTTCTATGATATCTCCTTTTTTCAATGTTAATTCGCCTTGTTGTTGAGCTTTAAATGGTTTAATACAGACACATTTTCGCCCTGGAGCAGCTGCATATAGACGTTTTCTTGAGTATGTATATCCACCATTGACAGCAGATGTTTGAACAATGGGAGATCCTATATTAAATTAACATATATTAAACCGATAATGACGAAAAATTACTATGTTTCTTATTCTTCTACCTCCTGATAGATGTGATGTACTCTCTGATCCAAAACCGTGATCACTATTTACACTAAAGGATTTTGGCGATGATGATCGACTGGATTGTGTGTGAAAATAATCATTTATTGGGCTATGGCTACGAATTGATCCGTTAATGCCACCATTTAATTTTGGCATACTTTGAGAGCGACTTTTCAACGATGACGAAGTTGATGTACAATTAGTACGAAGACGTCGTTCAATATAGATATTCCGACGTTTAGGATTTATAACAGGATTTTCGCGGTAAGGTACTAAAAGTGAAAAGAATACAAAAACATTTTCCATCGAATATTCACTGATGGGACCAATAAGAATAATTTCATACACGTATACTAATAACGTCAGCAAATACTGTTTTCTATCGTTTGTGGAGAAAATAGACATTAACAACTACTATGTTCTTGACAAAAATTCGGAAAGCTATGCATCCAATGTCAAGGATGCTCATTCCAAGTCTATTATGACTAACCATAGACTAAAAACACTGAAAGCTGAAAAGTTACATTCGTCTCAAAGTAACCCAATGTAAAATAGACGAGCAACATCATGAACTGATCGTATATGTAATGTCAAAACTGTTTGACAATTAAGAATCTATAAATGAACAAGTCTCACCGCTTACCAACATCTTCTGGTTTAAGTTGTTGAATAATACTTGCAATTATTGAATTTTGTGATATCAAAGCTAAGTCGTGGGGTGTTTGATTTGCTTTATTTACAGACGTTGTATCAGCGCCACGAAATAATAATACACGTGCACAAGGTTCCTTTAAAAACGAACAAAAAAACAAAATCATAAAATGCAATTTGATCTTTACAAAGAAAAACAACAAATTGAATGATCTAAACATATTATTAGCAGACAAAATTTTAAAATTTATTGTGTATAACAATCTATGATGTTTGTCTTTAGATCGTTATCAACTTATAAAACATTCTCTATAATCAAATGGAACTCATAATGATGTTTGGTACATATCAAAATATCTAAGTTGCAATCGATTATATAAGAGACTGATCTAATTTTATGTAAAGATATTCTAGCGACAAAAAAAATTAATTTCTACCAAAGAGACGTCAAAACGTCGCCCATTTTTATGGTTTTATAAAAATGATTCAATGATATGAGCGTTTTAGTTAGAATAGAAAAAACGATGACCATTTACGATTGCATAAAACGAGAAAGTAAAAAAACAACAATTGGGGAGTGGTGGTGTATAGATACATATGCACGATAGTTAATCCTAAAACAATGTTAAAAAGCTACATGGCAAAAACAATCGAAGAGAAAAAAATTGAGAGAGAAAAGATAATGTCATCTTTCCCTTTTAGATAATTGCATGTAAATTCATTCATAATATGTATACGGATGACTATTCACAATCCAAAAAAACAAAACAAACGCTATTCGTATATTTGATAATAAACAGAAGTTCGATATTTTATATAATATAACAGTATGTGTGATACACAAATAATCTTTAATTCTTTGCTGAGTGATTAAATCTATACATTCACTCTATGACTGTGGGGATTCGCGCGAGACAAACTAGAGCGAAAGACGTGTATTTTAATGAGAAAATAAACGTTTTTTTGTTAAAATAAGAGAAATATAGTTTAATTTAGACAATTTTCTTAAGTTATTAAAATTAAATTACACACACAGTCATCATCGTACCTAAAACAAATGAATCTAGTATTCAGAGTTTTTATCGCACGAAAAACAGCCATGTTATGTCTCTAGTTGGCTGTTCGACCAAGTTAGTTGATGTTTTTTTCGTATATTTGTCTACATGATAAATATCAGTAGCTCACCAACCTGACTATGATCATATTCTCACTGTAACTAGGTTTGATATTTAAAAAACTAATCTATATTTGACATCGTCTAAGTCATGTCATGTAACTCTGCTGCTGGATGAAATTCTGTCGCTCTTTTTTCTCTTCTGTGTATTCTCTATATATTTTGAAGCAAGATACGCTCAAATCTGTCCAATATTTGATATACCGACACTTGGGCACGCGCGACACCAGAGCACACCGACATTTAGGACAAAGCTCTCGCACCATACCAAGTTTGTTTAAAGTAAATTTTTTATCGTTATGCATCATACATTAACAAATGCACTCTTACTGAATGCTTGTGTCGTACATGCGCCCAAATGTTGCACGTGCCCAAGCGTCTAGTAATCATCGCATACTCCCAGACATAAATCTACAAGCTTGAGAAATTAGTAGAAATCCGAAGGACTAACTCTCACTGTTTAAGTGTACCGATAGATCACAATATACCTGGTTATTAGCCGCACAAACATGTAACGGTGTGTTTCCTGCCGTATTTTTCGCATTGATATCCGCTCGATAAAATAAAAGATTTTCGATATGTTGAACAAGACCAAGTCTACAGGCCTAAAAATACAGATCAGAGAAAATTTTTTTGTTAATATAAGAAAAGTGTATTATTACTTGATGAATTTCTGTTGAAAGATTTTCATCTACACAATCGACAATACTATGATCTTGAAGTAATAATTGAGCGCAATATGGATCAGCTTTATTTAATATACAATAATACAATGGTGTCAATTGTTTTCCGTCATAAACATTTGGTGAACCACCCAGTTCAAGAATAATCTAAATTGAATAATAGTAGTTTTTGTTAACATGAGACAATAATTTCTCGTACGATCTATTATCAATTGACACTATCTAATAATTGAGCGATTTTTTTACTAAACGTCTTAATAAATAAATATTCGCTTACCAAAATAGCTGCCTTTTTATTGTCTCTGGCTGCTTTGTGTAATGGTGTTTGCCCATTTCTTGTCCTATAATCGAGATGTGCACCACCATTAACTAATGCCATTATCATTTCACGTGGATCCTCAAGATCAACTGCATATGTTAGAGGAGTTTCTAAAATGAAAAGGGCAAATGTATAAATAATGTATAAAACGGCGAATGTATCATACCATCATCGATTTGAAGATTTGGATCGAATCCTCGTTCAAGATATCTGACAACTTTATACGTTTGATCCATTTTTATACAATCGACAAATTTTTTAATGTTTGTCTAAAGCAAACAATAGTATCTTATGTAAGACTAATATGAATAACTTCTCAGATATCTTCTCACTCTCTACCGAAATAGATATTTCTTTTACAGATAATTTTAGCGACGTATCTGATGTCCGTTTCGACTGGCGACTGATACACCTTTCTCCAAACGGTTTCTAACTTCGAAGTTTGTAGAAACATGGATATCACTTTTTTACAATCTAATCAAGAAACTACACTTTGAAGAATGTCGGGTTATCGATATATGCCAGTTTTCAAGACTAACAGACAATTATTCACAGAATGGCGAAAATTGTAAGTAGAAATATGTATTTATTGCCAGTATTTTAGTTGACTCTAGAGTTTGAAATTTTTCATAACTATGCTTACTTTTGAATTAATACTTTTTTGCACATGATGAACAGTTTTGTGAACCCTTCCTTTGTATATGAACTGTAATAAAAGTTTTGAGAATAAATAAAATTTAACGATAATTGTCATATGAATACTTACTTCAAGATATCCAACTGGTTGACATAATGGATAATCTCGCAAACATCTTGATTCATCTAAAAATTTTCCCACACGCCCATTAGATGGTGGCGAATAAAGACCGAAATTTAAACCATCATTAACTTCCTACATCAAAGCAAAAACACAAAATGATAGATAAAACTGTCAACTCTAAAAAGAGTAAATACCTACCTTTAGCAAATGTTGTAAAACTTTCAACTTTGCACTCCATACAGTATCATCCAAATTAAATTTTAGCACTTTCTAAAAAGAAATTAAAACTGATGTACAGAAACGTATATCATATTAATGTTTCCTATAACGAAGTAAATGTAGAATTGTAGAAATTAATACAGCAGCTACTTTAAACCGCATTTTATTACAAAAGAACTTTTTATTTATTTATTCGACGTTTCGACAAAATATTATGGGCGAACTACAATGAAATGCTTTTGGGATCTGGTTAAGGTACAACAGACATTACGTAAGTTAGAATTAGATCTTAGATTTCTTAGGACATGCAAGAATGAGAATTTAATCCCAAAATTTGTACAATTCAAATTCTCGAATTCTCGATTGATTAGTGATATTAGAATTCAGCATTGTTTCAACATATTGGACGCAGAAATTAAGTTTAAGAAATCTCGATTAAGCTCTACATATCGTCTTTATCGGAAAATTTGCTGCAATTTACAAGCTAGTATTACATTTCTTAATAATGACAAATATTTTGTCGAAACGTCGAATAAATAAATAAAAAGTTCTTTTGTAATAAAATGCGGTTTAAAGTAGCTGCTGTATTAATTTCTACAATTCTAAATTTATTACCCTGCAATTGTAAAAATGTTTCGAAGTAAATGTAGTTAGTTACTCAGCCTATCTACGTAACAACCTACTGTTTCGTACGTCAGTCATGTTTTGTTAACATTGAAGCCTTGCGAGGGAAGGTTGTACGGAGATCGAAGACGTCGCATTTTGAAGAGTAAATATATTTCTTTCAGATGATAATCAATCAAACGTGAACAACTGAATAGAGTGTAGAATAAACTTCTTTGAAACAGGTGTCACGCTTTGTGAATGCTGGGTTCAGTTTAGAACCTATATACTAGAGCCCTTCGACGTTAAGTTTTTTCGTCCCGACCACGTTCCGTAGGGTAAAATCCGATCCCAATCCTGAAAAAATCTTTTCTCCCATCCCTGTCTCGATCCCGTCCAGTAGGCTCAATTACGATCCCCTTAAATCCCGAATATTTTTATTTGCTTTTTTTTGTGATAATGAAACATAGCCCCACTAAATTGAAAAAAGAAATATCCCGAACCAGTTTGACAGCTTAAAGCCCGATCTCTATACATTCTTTTCTCCAGTCCCTATCACGCAGGGCTTCACTAACCTGCGGTGCAAAAGTAATTGCCGAAATCTTCAGCCATGGTTTTCCGGCCAGGAACATCGCAGAAAGTTCATTCGTTTTCTAGTTGAAAGAGCAAAGCCTGAACTTTAAAAAACATAGGAAACAAAATTTTTGGGATTGGCTTTGAGGAAGAAAAAAGTACGATACCAAATGTCGTTAAAAAAGCTCTTGCAACTTTTGTCATCTTCAAACGTATCTCTCTCGTCAAATCTATTTTTCCCTATAACAGAATACGTTTGAAATTATATAATTATAGAAACTAGAAGTGTTTTAATCACTCTTTCAAATGGGTTATGGTAAACTATGCTTTAATCCACTGTTCGACCGGAACTTTGCAAGTTTTTTATTAGTTTCAAAAAACAAGGTAATTAATTAGACTTAATTAATAATTTTCAGATACTGGACGAATTTTGCTGCTTTTTCTAAAACAGATTTTCTGAAATAGATTTAACCTTTACCAACATGTTTAGAGCCCCGAATAACGAATTTTTCTCCATCTCCCATCTTTCCCATACAAAGTAGTGCTTTCTGTCAAAACTAAGACTTATAATGCGCTTTGTTTACCGTTAAAGAATTAGTGAGAAACTTCTTAAAGTAGGGAAATCGATAGAGTCGATAGAAGGCTACTTTTTCATCTATCTGGTTTTCAATAAAATATTTGTCTTCACACTCTAGTGAAAAAATAAAGAAAACAAGTAGGTTGCACGAGTCTTTTTAGCGACATTTCGTATCGTACTTTTTTCTTCCTCAAAGCCAATCCCAAAAATTCTTTTCCTATGTTTTTTGAAGTTCAGGCTCTACTCTTTCAAATAGAAAAAGAATGAACTTTCTACGATGTTCCTGAGCGGAGAACCATGGCTGGAGATTTCAGCAACTACTTTTGCACTGCAGATTATATATGGTCGGACCATCATTTCATAGCGGACACTTGACTATCATCTGAAAGAAATATGTTTGCCCTTCAAAATGAGTCGTTGTTCAGTGAGACTCTGATACAATGTTTCCGTGCAAAACTAATCTTAACAAAACATGACTGACTTATGGAACAGTAGGCTGTTATGTGGACAAACCATACTGATTATACATCAGAATTTGTTATCAATTATCTCTCCTTTATATAACCAAATGATATTTTAACAAATTAAAATGACTGCTGTTAATTTTTCAAACCTGTAAACTTTGATCTTCAACGGCAATTTTTATATATATAATACTATTGTCCTGTTCAATACCAGAATCATCTTTTTCATCTTGATGGTGATTTATATGTTCATCAGTCTTATCAGTTAATGTCATTGTTGGTTCATCTGAAATGAATAAATTGATAAAGTATAGGATGTTAGAAAGTAGAAGTAGAAGGTATTATACACACAAATTATGTTCATAGTGACACCTTTTTTTATCATATCATCTACTATTTCACTTTTTTCTTATCTTCATATGTTTCTCTATCACAATAACGCACTTCTCAAAATTTCCTGTGCTATTATTGTTTTTGATGTTTAACGTTTATCAGCAGTCTATTCAAAATCAAAAATCTCTTAAAATTGTTTTATTCAATCAAGTCTATCCAATTATATATGATACATGTTTTATGAAGTTTAAATGATCATACAATACTCAATGTTGTACACAATATTAGGATCGAATTACATAAGAATAATTTATACTTACTATTCGATGATTTAATAAAATACATATCTATAAACAGAATATAAACGGTTAAATCGAAATCTTTGTTTCGTTTTTATTAAAGACGATAGAAATAAAGAATGTTGTTGAATAAACATGTGCACACACACACTTTACTCATAAGTTTATATATCAATGAACGCGCCGCACATATACAACGTATTGAGAATCAAAATAATGTTTTTCTTTCACATTTCAAGATGTAAAAAGAAGAAAAAAAACATTTTAGTGCTTCTAAAGTAATGAGACGTTTTCATGGAAAGTAAGAACAACTTAGATATGACGACCAGACAAAAGTGTCAAAACAATAAAGGTTTACAAAACTAGTTAAAAGCTATAGTCAGCTATCGGCCAGTCGAGTATAGTGCACCGATCATGTTGATCAATTAATTTGAGAAAATAAAAAAAATAAATGTTAATTTCTTTAGAAAATTGAATTAGTATTGAATACATTCGTCTCTGCTACACAGTCAAACTTCTTATGCAAGTAAAATAATCTGATTTAATTAAAAATTGATTTAAACTGTATTTATTTAAAGAGTTGTTTAATTAAACGTTGCCACTGTTACTTCTTAATTAAGCATGTTAAAAATGGAAAAAAAAATGAAACAAAAGCGATCCTTTCACAGATCATTTCTCCCTCGCCCCCTTAATTTTTTTTTCTTTTCTTTTTCTGTTTAAATAGAAAATATTTGTTTGAAAAAAAACAATCAAATTTTGACATAAGTATTTAACTCTAACTAAAAATAGTATCAAAAAAGAACGAAAGTGTCTGCAAGAGCTTTTCAAGTTTCTATTAAACTTTATGACATGTTGTTCATCTCCACGTTCGAATAATATCAAAACTTCAGATCGAACTTTTATTTGGTTATCGAGAGACTGCAACGATCACAATCTTCACGTGAACCACCATGAAACTTTCAGGTTCAAGGAAATAGTTGAAAAAAGGTTGATTATTCAGGTTCGGATAACATCGGCCTATTACACGTTTTAACATCCTAAATCCTCAGAAAAATGTGATAAACATCGAATTACAGTAAGAATGAAAATTTCATAGTGACTGAAATAAGACTAGTTGACTTATAAGAAGTTCTTCTTTTATCTGTAGTTGTAGTCAACTGACAGTAATGACGTAAAGCAGGACAAAGCTAGGTCATCAAAAATGTTGGGTTTTAATCAGTTTCAAGATATTCGTGGAAGTTTCTAATGTGCGAATCAAAAGTTTCTGCAAAGTCGAGCGCATTACATAAAAATGCTCTTTACACTTATAACCGTATATTCTGGTATTACTAAAAGCTGAACAATCAAGCTGACTAGTACAGAAGATTTAACTCAGACAACAATCCAAACTGACAATATTAAAGTGCTACAGAAATTTGGTATATATTTGCTTTATTTTCGAAGAGTTCGGAAGTTACGAAACAAATTGAAGTTGTCTAGCTCTTTCTACTACCAAACTGCAACAATATCTCAGATCAAACTTTTGTTTGGTTGCGAGATAGATTCACTGCACCGAACACAATGCTCATTCGATATTCCTAAAGTCAATACGAATTAAATCAAATCTGTACAAAGCAGACAAATAATTGCAAATCTCAACTAATTAATCATAACAGAGTTGGAACCGGATCGGAGAAAATCAAGCTATGTATTCAACAAGTAATGGGCTATATACGTGCATTCTATATACGTGTACATAGTAATTAGTCATTTATATTATTAGTTATTTATATTATTCATTTTCCTTTGTTTTTCTTAACTTTCTTTAAGTTGTTATGTTGCTATGCATTGCATATTGTACAAGGAGTAGAAGCTGTCAAAACAAAGTTGATCGGGCTGAAGCCAAACTTTTCTATATCCAACCCGCAAGTCGATAGAATCGACTCGATACACTTCGGAGGTTGGTGTCAATAAATGACTTTACTTCCACTACTTAAAGAGCTCTAAAAGACAGTTACAAAGGATGCGCAGTTTGTTTTAGTGCCGTAGATAACTAAAAACAACTACCTTTAGAAAAAAATCAAACTTTTTCTACCAGTTTTTATCTATTTACAAAAAATTTCAATCGGCCGTTAACGGTCGATCTGATTGTTTTTTAAACGGTTCCACCTCTGAATCATGATGGTTGACTTGGCTAATATTTCCTTAATAATACTTCCACGCAAATCTGGCTAATATTACACGTGCTGAAAGCCGACCAAATATGAGTATGTGCCTCGTGTAGCAGCAGCACAAAAGTATAAAAAAGCTAACGTTGTATATACAGAGTTATATATTTCATCCGCAAACTAGGTTTTCTATATTTTACGTTTTAAAAATTATAATTTATGATCACGTGAAAGTGGCTTTCAAGCTTGCTGAAATGACACAAGAAACAGCACACTAGCACTATTTGTTTCTTCACGACATCTGTCTTCCAGCTACTCTCACGAACGGTGAAAAACACCCACTTATGAGCAAAATTCAAAATTAGTTTATGAATAGAGATTCCGACTAGTTTTGGGGTAGGAGAGCGGATACACTTTGGTGGAAAGCGATAAAAAAAGATCTTAGCGAAAGTGATGAATGAAAAGACAAAAAAGTCTTTTAAAATTTATACGCTGCACTTTGTCGCGATAATGGCACAACCAAGATATTTTCAATACTTCGGCAAATCTCTACTGAGACAAAGTAAGGGTTAGGCATAAGCATAAAAATGGGTAGAACATTTTTCTGCGAAGGAAAGTGGTGGCAAAAATTCTGCAGGAAAGTTAAAATTTGAAGGGAGGTTGGCACCTTTTGCTCCTCTCATCAGAATCATAGTTCATGTATAATATTCAATGTGCCACAAGAACAGTGTCTCAAAGGCTTATTTTATAATTAGTGACTTGATAGAAACTACGTTGGGTAAGACTTCTGTTATAACAAATGAGAACTTTTACATATTTTGGTATTACTACGGGACTGACATACTCAGATCTTGCCAGCTTCCAGTTGTATAATATTAGTCTGCATTGTATGGACGGAATACCCTGCAGAATTTTTATTTATTCAATTACTTTACTAAATCGTCATCTAAAGTTTATTTGGTCTACCATGAAACTATGAACAATCAGGTTATCAGAAAACTCTAAAAAAAAAAGTGAACAGTTTTCTCTTATCTGAATGTCTTTCTTCTATTTGGCTAATACAAGACGGTTTCTAAAGATGTTCTCCGCCTTAATCAGCACATATTTAATTGTTTATTTATGGAAAGCATTAATTTTCTTTTTACAAACGACACATTCTTTTTGTCACGTCATAAAACAGATTAGAGTGCAGGTAGAAACTATATGACTAATTATAGTCTCAAAGCTATCACAGTTTAGTTTTCTTCAATAAATACAGACGTCACACACTCTTATATACAAGGTGAGAAAGCGAGTTGAGTTGTACGAGTAAAATCTATACCTTGCACTTCTTTTTGTTTTTAGATATATTCTCAATACACATTAACACATGTTAAGCTGACCACAAACATAAAGTTAGAGAACAAGAGACAATTGCGATTATCTCTTGTCATCGATGTGCAATCAGATCACTCAAACAAAATAAAATCTCATACATATCTATACACACAGAGAGAGAAAGAGAGATTCTGATTGATAAATGAACTGTGGTATATTATGTGTTTTAGTAAACAAAACAAAAAATAAGGAAAAAAATAAATCATTTTCAATATGAAATATTACAAGTGAAACGAATCAAACAGTGAGAATAAAATATCTTGCTATTTTATACCTGGCAGTAGTCGAGTTGTAGTAATTAAGCTAAATCCGATATCTTCCCTGCAGTTGACAAGCTTCTGATATGGTTACTCATCTCGTTACTAATCACCAACCATAGCTCTGGAGAGAAGACTAGCCTGACGCAGAACTCAAAAGGAGTTGCTTGTGTATTGGATTACGACATCTAAGTAATATATGTTTAGTATCTTAACATTTGTTCTTATTTGAACAGACTGTATATACATTTTATACATATGATAGCTTCTTTACTTGACTGGAATTTTGTGATCAAAGATAACATACTAAAAGCAATTTAACACTTACTACTTGAGTGGAACACTGTTGTTGTTGTTGTTGTTATTATTACTTAATTAAAAATAACTTTCTCTTTTTTGTTTTCATAAAGTCTCGGCACCTGTTTCATAATATCAAAAATTGTTCAACTGACATTCAACATATCTAAAACAAACAATAAAATTACAAAAGCATATCATATAAGCCCACAAGAAAAATCACTCAAGAATCAGTGAAAAATTATTTAGAAGAGAAGACTGAACAGTCTAATCACTAGGCTATTAAACGATTTATAATATTAAAAAAAAACGTTAATAACCGTAGTTGAGCATTCATTGAGTTTGATACATCGATATAATAGTTTTTATTTAATTAATATTTTCAATTAATTCTTTATTTTCTATTTGCATCTCAATATTCGAGACAATTTTATCACGTAAATAAACTACTATCTTCATTTTCTACAGATAAACCTTTTTTGTCTATAACATATACCTGCATGATAAAACTCAATATTGGATGATTTAAAAAATATGTTGTGAAGAATTTTAATTTATAACATGAGTGAACCATAAAATCTGAATGATGAGAGAGAATGAGTTCGTTTTTCTAAGAAAAAAAAGTATATCGTTGAATACTTCACCTCATCAAAGTTAAATCGTCATTTCGTTAACCTCGACAATGACTTATGTATAATCAATATTATTTATTTGATACAGATGTTACTAATGGATATAGTTCTATTAAAACATATCTTTATTAATATTATAACTTTCGTCATTTATTTTAAAAATAATTAAAATGTACTAAATCTGTATAGTCTCCATTCTCTTATTGTTTTAATAAGTAATTTCACGGAAAATATTTTTTATCAAATTTTTTGAAAATAACTGTATTACATAATTATGCTGTTACTTAGAGTATCGACATTATAAAAATATTTTCACATTTGAATACATACAGCAAT